AGGAGGGCCATGGCGTGCAGGGCGGAAGCGGCCTGTCCAGCAGCACTGTAAGCCTTGGCCATCAGCACGGACTAGAACTTACTAATCTCCAGCCTGGGGCAAAAAAAAATAGACAAGAAAACTAGGCTATGCTTACTGGAGATGACGTTGACAATAAAATCACAAAAACATCCATCAAAATGTATAAAATAACTTTTATTTAGTAGTTTTATATTAGTATGCAATACTCTTTGGATATGGGAACACATTAAATGAGGTGGGAATGGAGTCTGTTTTGTCAGAATATTGTCAGAAAGGATAAAAGTCCAGGTATACAATAGGCTTAATGTACTTTAAAATATGCATAAATAGTATATAACTTGTCCTTAAATGAAAGCAGCTAATCACAGCATATTGTAAATATTGTGTGCATTTTTACATCTGTTTTGTACTGTTGGTAAGGTAACAGAGCTTGAAAATCCATCAATTAAATAGTTTCTTCAGTTCAGCATTTACTTTGATATCAAGAAGGAAAATGGTGTTTACATGCTAGGAGATTAGCATTAGCATGCCACAGCAAGAATCATTTCCTTAGCTCAAGTTAAGGTTTCCTTGTTTGTGTAATGTTTATTGAATGAGAAACCAAGCTCCCTGAAGGTGTTATAATATACACAACATTTCTTTCCTGATAAAATGTAGGCCTATTGATTGATTTGTTGCTTCTATATACTGTGGATGTCTTATCTTAGGTGTATGTTCTTCCGGTTTGGACTACGTAGCACTACTGCTATAACGAGTGTTACACTCCATCTTATACATGTTTCATCAGTCCCTCAGGGTGGTCTGAACATCCCTGCTGGTCACACATGCATTTCACCCACCGCCATATTAATGTACTGAACTCAATGTCAGATTGTTTCTTGTGTAAAAAAAAAGTGTAACAGGAAGTCATAAGGAACTCAGTAGTAATTAATCTCAAGAAATGGCAATTTTCAAACGAAATAATGGTTTATTTATAAAAGTGAAAGGGCAAACATCAAAATTTGTAGAATGCACATGGCTGTAAGAGTCTTTTGGCCAGATTCTTATCATTGTGTAATCATGGTATTTATTTATATAAGGTACCTGATGCTACATTACAAAGTACTTAATTAACACGTTATTATATAACAAACATCTTTTTTGTCATTAATTTATCTGTATTCAAAAAGCCTCAAAATTATGTTGCATTCAAAATAATTCTCAATTATATTGTCTTTACATACAATATAAACCATCACTGCATTCAAAAATCAAACAACTCTTCTTCTTTCTCCTTCCAGAAGGTGAAACTACGATCAATATATTTACAAATTTCATCATTGCTAAACATTGAGAAATCATTGCTTCCATCTCTGCTGGAATGTCCTCCATCATTTGATACAGTATTTTCGATGATAACCTGCGGCACAGCTTTAACCCCAGCACAAGAATTCTTCACGGATTCCTTAGATATCCCTTTTGTTCTTTTCCCAAAATATTGCGTTTTGATGTCCTCAAAGCCATCTTTCCACTCACGTCTCCCAGCCTCAATCTCCCTGAGGACAGCCTGGTGGAAATCTCGGACCATGTCCCAGGGAAAGTTCCCTAAGTGATCGAACACTTCAAAGCATAGCAGGTGCCTCATCTTGCGCTCCTCAGCTGGGAGGTCCTGTTCAAGAATGTGAAAATAGCCGAGCATGAACAGGTCAAGGGACAGGCTGTCGTAAGCAACAGGAGCGCCGTCCACACGAGGAAGGAACTGTTCAGGCGAGTAGGTCACATGCTTCCTTTGGAGGCTCCGGATCTGTCGTGTAGGGACCCCCGAGGCAATGTGTTTCCAGTTGCCAATCATCTTGTCTATTGTGGTTCTTTGCCTATAAAGATGATACAGTGATCTGGTTCCTGGCTTGGAGGCTGGAGCTGTTATTCCTTCTCCTGTAAGAGTGCCAAGCTCTTGTTTCATCTTGGCTCGCATTGATATTGCATATGCAGACCTTTTCCAGTGGCTCAAAAAGAGGACAACAATACGCTCCTTCCGCAAGCAGGTGGTCTCCATCACTTTAATTGCATCTTTGCCCGGTGCCTGTTGGCATTTTATGGCACTGTCATTAATGTGATTAATGTCAGTGCTTTGAGTTGTCCCCATTTGCTGCTCCTTACGATTTGTTGATGTAGTCAACTTTTGCTGCCTTGTGTCTGATGTGTTGTTTAAAAGCCCAGAAAATGGGTAGATGTTTCCTATCTGATCCTCAAAGTTGGACCTCAGATTTCTCACAGAAACTCCTGATTGCTGGATCTCCATTTCCACCTTTTGTCTTCGTCCTCTGATTGAACTTTGCCTCTCGGGCTGGTATGTGAAGACCGATGTCAGATCCGTGTTTGGCATCTTACTGATCCCATCCTCACAGTTTGTTTCTGAGAGGTTTGTCAGGAGGTTTGACATGCTCTTTACTATATTTGAGATACGATTGTACCACACAGGAAGAGGCAGAGATTCCTCCATGTCTGGAAGCTGCTGGCACTGGGTGTTGATGGTGATATTAATGATGGGAGCAGGAAGGATGGCCCTGAGTTCCTCTGCCAGTCGGGCAAGCTCTAGTTCATAAGCCTGGCATCGTTTCTGAAGGGAGATAGTCTCAATCTGTTCCTCCAAGTAGAGCAGGTCATCTTCGGTAAGCAGTTCTCCAAAGGGGCCCAAAATTACATTGTGGACTTGGGAATACCTCCAACCATCCACCTCAATGTGTTGGTCGCTGTTGTCCTGTGTAAGATGAAACTATTGTTATTGTAATGCTGTATGACATTGTACGTTATGCAAGGACTTTTATGTTGGAAGGGTTTGAGAAGTTTACTTTTCTGCTGTGGACATCTTCATCCTGCAGTCGAGCCTGAAGCTTGCGCACCATAACCTGCCTCTTCCATTCAGCAATGGGCCTCCCGTTCTCATCATGAGTTGGGATCAGAGAATCAATGTCAGCAAGATTTGCCTCCAATGCTGCAAGTGGAACAATTCCACTCTGTCCTTTCTGTAAACAGATTCATACAAACTCATAGAGATTAATATCGCTGTACCATCTCAGTTGCAAATAAACACATTCACTTCAAATCCAAATAAATGGCATTGCAAACTATTTTACACCTCTGAATGAATTTTTCCCCCTCAAAATTGCAAGTTTCCTTATCTTTTTTTCTTGTAATTTTGAGTTACATCTCTCGATTCTGTATTTTTTCTTGGAATTATGGTGGAAACAGGATTCTGGCAGAGCAAGTCATTACGCTATGATAACAAATTATGAAGAAACTTGTTTTCTTCGGAATAACGTGCACTGATGATGTGAGCACAATAAGACCTGAAAGATAATTAGGGTAAATTGGGAATTCTTGTTGACATTTTTAATATTGAGGCTATAGCACATACATTTATTGTTTGTCCAGTGAAGACTGCAGTTATTCCTGCTTGTTTCAGCGACCTCATTGACTTTTGGGATAAAACGGCCTCCTCTTCCTCAAGGTGTTTCCTCATGTTGAATGATGTTACAACTACACCAAAGACAAAGAAAATGAGTTAACTTTAGGCGAACAATTTCTTTGTATTATGGAAGTTGACCTTTTTGTCAGTTAGAAATCTGTATTGGTTACAGATAAAAGATCATATATACTCTCGCCTGAGCCAAACACATGCAGAGTCATGCACTCCCACCTGTAGAGGCCACTTGCATATGCTGTATGGTTCCAGCTCCGGCTCTCTTAGCCTGTGAGGAGGCCAGTAATGTGGATGAGTTATCCGGGTATGGTGGAGAGGGACGAGGCTGGGGAGGGACTTCATTCACTGGCTGCTAGGAACAGCAAAACAGCCAAAGCGATTAAGAACAAGCATGTCCTGTCACATTTGCTTAAAATCAGTTTATAATTAAAAAACATAACCTTGCTATTTTCCATCCTGCCACTATGTCCAAGTTCACAGGACAGGTCCTTAATGTCCTGGTAGGGGTCAGCTGTGCTAAACAAGGTTCTTTCCTCCTCTATGAGAACAATATCTGCAGACTGCTGGAGTAAAGCAATTAGATAACAAAAACTCAAAAAAACTCAATTTCCTTTTAGTAATTGGCACAAAATACAGGTCTTGAAGCACAATGTACACCCTGATCTGTGAAGAGCACCCAGTGAGGGGGAAAAGTCATGAGAAAAGTGAAACAGGAGCTCAAACTGTTTAGTATAGCAGACCTCCCACTTAGTTAACAAAGGAAAACTGCCTATAGAGTTCAGTCATCTGATCGGATGGTTCAAATGACCCATACCTGCAATTGCAGTGATTGACTTCTCTTATGGCCACTTGTGAACTCTGTTTTTGCTTTCTTGCTTAATTAATACTTATTCAGCAAGTATGCATTAAATTGATCAAAAGGGTAATTTATAATGCTACAAAAGATTTATATTTTAAATAATGCTGATCTTTTGAAATTTCTATTAATCTAAAAATCCTGTCAAAAAAAAAGTATCCGTTTCAACAAAAATATTAAGCAGCACAACAGTTTTCAACACTGATAATATAAGAAAATGCAGTAAAATGCAGTATTAAAATCAGGATCATGTGACACTGAAGGCTGGAGTAATGGCTCTTGAAAATTCAGCTATGCCATCACAGGAATAAACTCAATTTTAAAACATATTAAAGAAAAAAGGTACTTTAAATGATAAAAATATATATATATTACAGTCTTCCTTTTTTTCTTTTTTTTTAATCACATAAATGCAGTCATGGTGAACATGAGAGACCTCTTTCAAAAACATTTAAAAACTTACTGTCCCCAAACTTTTGAACAATAGTGTACATCCATATATACTGTATATCAGAAAACCATAAGAAAATAGTTGGACAATATTTACTTTAGTAGTAACATTTTGTAATGCAAAGATTAAACATGTATGCACTCAAGAGCAGCATCAATAGGTTGACTAAACATAATAAAAATAAAATTATAATTTTTTTACTTCAAATACTAAATGAGGCATCACATTCACACACTATATATTATGCATTAGCTATGTACAGTATAATAAAATATATGACATTTAGGGTATAATTTATTTATTTTAACAAAATGAAATTTAGTTCTCAGAGCTAAACATGATGAATGTTTCCATTCATTACCTCATTACTTACTTATTTGCACCATAATGAGAGGATATTCTTAGTCATGCTTGTATATAGTCTTTTCTGAAAACATCAGTTTTCAAATTTTTTCTTACTCTCACCCAAAAGGAAAAACCTTTTTTTAATATACACAATATTTTCTCTAGGGCAGTTGTATTTTTAATCTGATATTTTACCGTTTTAAACAGATATTACTGAGAACACCCAAGAAAAACTGTTAAAGCTGAATCCTTAAACAAAGAAGCAATACGAGATAGTTATTTTGAAGGCATTTCAAAGATCATTTTCTAGGCAGGATCTTTTCTAATTATTTATATACATATTTAATTCATATATATAACATCATAAAACAAACCCATGCAATGCTACAGATTTTTTTTTTTTTTCAGAAATGAAAAAGGTTTATGTTTTTATAAAGTAATCTGAAATAACTTACAGTCCACACCTTTGCCGGTCAAGTCTTCACAAGTCTAACAGCTGAGTGTAATGAGAGCAGCTACAATCACATCAGTGCTCCAGCCATCCAGTGGCCAAAAGCTTAAGGATCAGCGCACTACAGTGAGCTCAGACAGGAGGTCTTCATAGTAAAGTATGAATAATTAAAGGGTGGGATTAGGTGAACCGTTGTTCTTTACAGGTTTAAAAGTCTAAAGGCTGCCACACGTTCCTCACCACGTTTCTGAAATTCACTAAAGCACTTTTGTGTTTCTCCCAGTTTTTTATTGAACTAACTCTACAGTTACTGAACACTATTTGCTGTTCTGAATGTCTTGTAATGTGGTTAGAGAATCAAAGAACAGGGCTTGATGGCGAATCGATACACGTGCATGAACAGACAGTACTAATCTTTATTGAGGTGTCACATTATTATCTAACCCTAACTGATTTGCCGTTACGCGAATTTAAAGATGCTTCACTTAATACCTCTCTGTCACATGCACCTCAACCGACCGTGGAGCAAAGAGGTCAACACACATCAGTTACACAGACCATTAGACATGCAGGAGGAACAGATCAGGCAACTCTATCTAAGCATTAGATCACACCAATTCTATTCATTTACAGGCATTTTTTGCAGGCTCATATTATATTATATTATATTATATTATATTATAATTCTCTCCATTTTCTCCTCCATAGTGGAATGATGGAATAAATCAAGCAATTTTAATCATCAGATCACACCAGTTCTATTCATTTGCAGGCACTTCATGCAGGTTCTATTCTATTCTATTCTATTCTATTCTATTCTATTACATTATATTATATTATTAGATTAGATTAGATTTTAAATTTCTACACTTAAGTGTTGTTAAATATGAAAAAAGTTTATTTACACTCAATATGATTTTTTCCCCATGTACAATTAAAAAATTTATGAACATTGAATTGAATTCTCTCCATTTTCAGACAATTTCCTCAATATATGTTATATATATATATATATATATGTATAGTATAGTATAGTCTAGTATATATATGTATACTATATATACTATATACTATAAGTAGTATATAGTATATATATATATATATATATATATTAGGGATGCACCGATATGAAAATTTTGGCCGATACCAATAACCGATAATTTTTGAAAGCCGATAACCGATATGTTGGCCGATAAATCTATATCCAAATTTTTATATACTTTTTGAGAGCCTGATTACAAAAAAGGTCTCATCATTAAAAGCCACATCCCGAACACTTCAACATAAGCAGCCTAGTTTGAACGGTGTACGTTTTAAAAATATTTTTACTCTCCCATTACCAAATTTAGTCATAAAAAAGTCATATATATATACTAGAACCTATATGGAGAACTTTTTCTGAATTACATGTTACATGTTCTGTAATATGTTTTTATCATATTGTCATTTTTTACATTTTGCCCAATTAAGCATGGTTTCATTGGAAGTTATATGCTGTAGAGAGACGTATCATTTATAATTTCTTTTACAAAGACAGATTGTGCCAGAATAATACTTCAAAATTGTTCCTTTTCTATATTAGCATTAGCCAGTCTATTTTACATTGTCTACCTTTTTCTTCATTTTGTTTCTGTGGTAATAAATAAGCTGATCTTATGTAATTATTCCCCAGTAAACAATAATTATTTTCAAGAACCCCACTGTGCTGCTCACACTTTCCTTTGGAGGGAAGACCCATACACTCAAACCAAAACAGCTGATGCCATGTCAGCGTAAACAAACAAAACTGGTGAGAACACCACATCTCTCCTCTCTCTCGTTGGCTTTGTGATGGATTGACAGAGCATGAGCGACTCCAAACACAGGAGTAAAATGGCCTCTGACAAACCCACTGACTGCGTTTATGGGCCTCTTGACACCTGAGACGGAGGATCGCATATCCTCCTCACCCCTGGAGCTCTGGAGCTCGTGCTGAGAGGGGCGTGAAGTGATAGCTGATAGGTCCTTCATGCACCAACCAAACATTACTAAGTGTCTTGCTAATTACCTTGTGTCCAACCATAACGTTTTAATATGCCATCGTAGTTATGCTATCAAAAGAAAGGCTGACGCTTGCATAGTTTCCACTTCATTTATGAACCAATGACGTATCTGATGCCCTTTTGCAATGAAGTGACAGTGGAGGCGGAGCTGAAATATAAGTATTTAGCAAATTATGTATAGCGTATTGGTGTTTCACACACTATTCACTGAATTCTCAAGACTGGACTTCTGACCTTTTGTCCATCTCACAAATGGTGGATGATATTAGGGGGAAACATAAAATGATCCATTTGAGTCCTGCTACACTCTAAATATTCATTCTACAAATGCACAGAAAGGACCAGGCATATACAACTAAATCATTAGATTTCATTAAATTAGACATTTTCCCTGAATTGTCCCACGACAACATTCTCCACGAGAATAAACAGATACTTGTCAACACTTTTACTCCCAGCAGATGTGGATCAAATTATAATCACATTATTAATGCCTTCATTATTAAGGGATTAATGGTATCCGTTCAGGCTTCTGAATAGGATGTTCCTGTGAAGAAAATCCTGTCCCATATCTGATAAATAATGGAAAGGTTCTTCTGCGGGAATGACTCAGTTGACTGCAGTGTGTGATTTAATAAACGCACTTTAATATTTGTAGCTTGTCCTCTATTTTGTAGCATGATTCAGCCAATATGAGCTACTATTTCATTAGCTCAAATATATTCATGCTAGAGAAGTGTTGGCCAGTTGGTGGCAGTAACAGTTTGCTATCACAAGGTGGATGGAGTATTACCAAAATCCACACCATCAGCTGTTTATGCATGTAATATTCATGGCTGTAATGCACTTAATTGCTATACTTAAGCATTATTATTAAATGTGAAAATAATCCCCCCCCCATCATATGCTGATTTGGTGCAAAACCATTTCTTATTATCATTTTTTATTATTATTATTGTCATTGAAAATGGTTTTGCTGCTTAATTTTTTTGTAGACACCAGTTTATCAGGATTCTTTGATGAACAGAAAGTTCAAAATATTTATTGAAGTGAATTGAAATCTTTTGGAACATTATAAATGTATTTTATAATGTTAGGGTTAGGGTTTTGATTAATTAAAGTTAGGGTTAGGTTTTTGATTAACTATATAAATTATAATTGCTTTTAAAAAATAAAATTAAAATCTTACTGACTCCCAAGAAGTTAAACATTAGTGTGTATATGGAAGAAATTTTATAAAAATGAAGATAATTAACCATCTAAATGGAACCAAATTGCCTATCACAGCTTTGCACAGCTTTGCCCCATTGACTCCCTCTGCCAATGCATTGATGAAAATAACAGTTGGATGTGCCAGAACTTCCTTCAGTTAAACAAGTCATTGCATTTGGAAACATAGATGAAGTTCTCAAGCTGAATGCATTCTTTGACTCTAGGGGTTTGACAACTAAAAATCAAGTCAGGAATCTTGGTGTGATTCTGGAGACAGACCTTTCAGTAGTCATGTCAAAGCAGTAACTAAATCAGCATACTATCATCTAAAAAACATTGCAAAAATTTGATGTTTTGTTTCCAGTCAAGACTTGGAGAAACTTGTTCATGCCTTTATCACCAGCAGGGTGGACTATTGTAATGGTCTCCTCACCGGCCTTCCCAAGAAGACCATTAGACAGCTGCAGCTCATCCAGAACGCTGCTGCCAGAATTCTGAC